GAAAGATTTACTTCTTAACCTGCTTCACAATCAAGTGTCAGGCCAGGGAAATGACCCTTGGCATTTAGTGATCCCGGATGGACACACAAATCTGCCTTCGACAGCCTTCTAAAGCAGCGCCAACTCCGAGCTTCTTCGGCCTGTGAAATCCGTGGCGAGATGAGAAGAATCCCAGAAGACACTGAGCTTCCAACCAAGCAGGGTCACTGTTCCACCAGGTTTTAAAAAGAGAATGTTTTCCTCCTTCCAGCAAAGAAATTTGCCTTTGAAAAAGTTGACGACAGTGCTGTTTTTTAAAAAATGCGGTTTCTTTTCTCCACACTTTATTCATATTTTTAACAAGCACTACTGGAAGCCAGTTGACATAGCTTTGAGCCAGTGCTCATAGGAAATAGAAATAAATGTACATTTATTTTTAAATAAATACAAGGAATATGGGGAACTAGAAACAATATAAAGATTGGAAAGGCATGGACGATTATCCCCCTACATATATTTTTTTAATTTACCTTTTGTTATTTTAACTATGAATAAGTAATTTTCTTTACACTATATAACAATCTCATAAAAGAAACATACATAAAAGTCTAAATTATAATACTGTGAATGGGTGCATAATAGCCCTTTGAGTTTTGAAGTAAAAAGTAATCTTTAAATGAAGATGCTAAGTGGTTGGTGGGGGGAATGGTAATTTATAACTTTTGGTGTCTTATATCTTTGAATAAAAGATGCAGCACCTTATTTGTTGCTTTACTTATAGCCTCTGATGGGAGGTTCAATCAGGAGAAAAAAAGAGAATTTGCCAAAGTTGCCCCAGTGTAGTGGGGACAAGGCATCGAAGTTGAGATACTAAGTCAACCTGCTGAGTCCAGGTAATTCACCTTTTGGACCAAGGGAACTCTCAGTGACTTGTTCTTATCTCCTTAGAGAAACAATGTTTGATGAAAGCTTTGAGTATTTTGCAATAGTTACATGAAAGTACAACTCTTAGCTTACTGGGGAATGATGATAAACTTCTTGGTGAGAATTAGTACCTTTAAATTAGCTTGGAGATTGCCCCAGATTTAAAAGGTGGGCTGAGCAGGTTGACCTTGGCAGTGCTTCATTAATTTTCAGGCCCATTTGAATTGTTTCTTGGCAACTTCCTTACTAGCACTTTGTTTTCCTTTAGGCTTCCCATGCAGATATATGTATATAAATCTGTAAAACAATAATTTAGGGTAGAGAAAGAAATGAGAGAGAAGCGTTTGTGTCTTTACCGACAATCTGAATGCAGGTGTCTGATGACAAGAGGCCCGGTCTTGTCCTTTACTTGGATTGTGGAACCGTTCAAAGGTAACTGATCCTAGCTCTGCACCTCCTCCCCTGCCCTCCCCCTCCCCACTGGGAGTTCACCGTTTAACCCCTAAATCCAGATGAGAAACACCCCATTTACCAAGTCAACTGTGAAGTCTATAATATGAAAATCACATCTACTAAATTCAGGAAAAAATTCTTCAAGGTGGACTTCCAACACTTAAAAAGTAAGAAACTGCTTTTAGAAGTGTGGTGTTTTTCCACTATCCTCATCAGTTCCCTGGGGAAATTCCAAGGGGAAGAGACCAGGGATAAAGAGCTTTCTGTATTTCTCTTGGTTTTCACTGCTAAAACAATTTTTGTTCCATTAGGTTTGTAATGTGAGATCTCTCCGAGTAAATTTACACAACAGCCTCTGACTTTATTAATTCTTCACAACTAACGTGGTCTTCCCATGTCTACAAACAAATTGCTGACTGCTCACAAATTCCATCTTCTGCTTACACACTGCCTTGAAAATTGTTAAAAGCAAAATTATTCCAGAATTACAAAAACTATTGGGCTAGCATGGCATATCTGTATACACGTGGCATGCAATAAATAATTACCAACTCATCTTTCCAGGGTTCTACTCGAGGTCCTACAAGATAGTGTCCTAAACACAATCTGAGATAGACTTTGAGAGGCATCTGGCCACTGGCCACCAGATTGAATGACTCCCTTAAGTCTTGAGGAATGACAAATGCCTTGAGGTATTATCTAACTGCTTACCCAAAGTATCTCCCTAGATGGCTTGTCAATGCCTTTTTGCTGATGCTTTCCATATTCATAGAATGCAGGAATTTTGCAGAAGATGGTTGGGTGGCCTCCCCTAGTAATAAACACTTCCAAACTTTCCAAAGCAGATCCATTGGAAAATTGCTGCCTCACTGCAAGAATAAACCCTTATCTGGTTCAACTCAATGTGTCACCTTCCTACTTCCCTCTCCAAATTTCTGTAATGTGGACGAGAGTGGTGCAATGTTAGCAAGTTAACAAGGACATATTAAAGTCTAACACTACCCCAGAAAAAGAGCTGTAGAAATTTGAAATAACATTTAATTTCATTATCTCATTGGCTCTCAAATTCTCAGATCACCAGCCTGCCTTTTTAAGTCGGGAGAATGAGAGGGACACACACAGAAAGAACTGGGTAGAGGGGAAAGGACTGGATTGGTGTCTGAGGCAGTTATAGTTTTCTCTTTACAACTGTGACCAACAGAGTAACTAACTAAATTAACTTCATCCAGGGAAATTAAATGGATTTTTCACTCTCTAGTCCCCGCCCCCACCCAATTCACAAAGTCCATGAACTAGGTGCGTCACTATTTGTATTCCCTTGGGAGCACCTGTGTAGCAAATTGAAATTGATGGTTGTACTTGTCCAGAACTCATCAATCAGACATAAACTGCTCAAGCAATTCTGAAACATTATCTGTTACTTAACTTGACTCTTGGTTTTCTCAATGGATTAATCATCCAGAACAGCTGAAACTCAGAGAACTTCATTCTGCAAATACCAAAAAACAAAATACATGCATGAAATTAAAATATTCTTATCGGTAGCCATCTAGATTATTCCAAAAGGAAATAATTACAAACCAACATAATTAGATGTAAGAAGCTAAAAGCAGTAAATTGAAAGCAAATATTAAAAATACTAAATCCAGCCTGCAGGACTAAAGGGCCCACAAATCTCAAATATGCAAAGATCTGAAATATGAAAAAGTCAAGTAAAAATATCCACTGTAAAAATAGGTATGTTCTCAAGTTTTGAGACATTGTGCTCCTATCTCCTCACAATTTTCATAAAGTATATTATCATTGACCCATTTCCCAAGTAACAAAATTTAGCCTAATTTCATGAAGGTATTAGGGGCAAAGGCAGGCTTTGAACCCAGGCTATGGGACTCCAAAGGGAGCTTGATTCGTACCCAGTATGAGTTCAGCCTCATCATACCAGGTAACTTTTAGAGGTTTGAAGCTATTTGAACTGAGACAGAAAAGAGGTCCAATTAGAGGTTATAAGGGAAAAAAGCTGTCCTGGCCCCCAGAAGACTCGTTTCAGACTCATGATACTAGATGCCACTGCTTTCAAGCTTGTAGCCTATAATCAGCCCATATTGAAACCAGATTTACAAGCTCTTCAGGGGAGAGTTTTGTGATTTTCTAAAGCAGACATGTTTGGTATTTTAGAAGGTCAAACCCCCTATGGTGCAGTGTTTTTAATAAAATCAGCTAAGCAGAAATTTTGATGCATTAGTCAATTTCTAGGAAGCCTCTGAGCTTTTCAAAATAAGGGGGAAAATAACATAAAAGACATAACGATGTGTAGATCACTTTTTTTAAAAAATGAGGTAGAGTGTAAGGGGTATAGATACAGAAACATGGCAAATTTGGTCCCATTTGTCTCTGGTTTGGGCAAATTTCCACTTAGAAAGGAAAATTACTTTTGGGGGGAGTTTTATGTCAATATTAAACAAGGGCTGTTCCTGGTTAGCCTGGCCTTGTACTGACACCTAAAAGTAACAGTAAACATCTCTGTGAGGGAAAAACAAATAAACCAGTCATTACCATTCTTACATCACTGAATCAGGAGGGTGGAGATTTCATGAAGGGTCCTTTATCTCCGCTGCTGGCAACTTCTACACTCTCATAGGAAAGCGGAAGTAGAATCAATGTTTAGTTCTTAGTAAAAATCAAAGTTGAGAAACCAGCAATACTTTCATTGAAAAGCCAAATTATGTATGCCTAGATCTGACTTGAACACATGTGCAAATGCTAAAAGAATGAGAAGATTTAAAAGGGGATTATTAGCAAAATAAGGGGATTTTTAGGGGATTATTAGACAGGGCCACTCTATTGAAAGTGGCTAGAACTTGAGTCCTCGAACACTCGGGCTGGCAGCGCATGGGCACAGTGCCACCACCCCACCGAACGGGGAGGTGTAAATAGCCCCATGAATTTACAGTAGAAAGAACAAGAACATAGAACCAAGTGAAAATACTTTGCATTCACCTTCTACTAAAGTTTTGTGATTTTAGCTCTAGGCGGGACCCAGGCTTTTCTTCTCCTGACTTGCGCGTATTTCAAAAGCACATGAATTCAAATCCTTCATTGCTGTATTTCCTAATGAATTGCTGAGTTCTTAGTTCACTGGTACTTGGAAAAAAATGGGATGAACAGAGACTAATATTGTGGCTGGGCATGCAGAAGAAAAGTAAGTCTTTTAATCTAAATGGAAAAACTGTAATTTGATCCGGAGCTAGCAAGCAGAAGGTGAAGGTGCAAATTTCACCAATGGCAATTTTTTTTATCAATTCTCTATAGATAGGTTTGGATAGTTGGGCCCAACAATTCTTTGGCTCCCTCAAAAATTGACCCATAAAACTTAACACCTGCCCTGACTGCTGTGGCTCAGTGGATTGAGTAATGGACTGTGAACCAGAGGGTCGCTGGTTTGATCCCCAGTCAGGGCTCATGCCTGGTTGGGGGCCCAGCCCTCAGTGGGGGCGGCACGTGGTAGGCAACCACACATTGATGTTTCTCTCCCTTTTTCTCCCTCCCTTCCTCTCTAAAAATAAATGAAATATTTTTTAAACTTTTATAAATCATTAATCATGAATGTGCAAACTGTTATTCTCAATAAGCACAAAACAAACTTGTCATTTATTAAAATGCATATTTATTCCGTACCCTAATTTGGGGCTGTGGCCTATTAATTATTAAATAACCTAGGTTCTCATTTTTAGACTAGTCCTTTTAATTCAGATTCTTCCATGAACTTGGCTACTGCATCTGTCTTCAGGGATCCATATCATGCTCATCATAAAATATTCCAGAAAATATTTTTTTAAAAATCTGTTAACACTCATAAAAGAAAACCCCATACTCAAATATGCAGGCTATAGGTTAATTTTTAAGCAAAAGTTTCAAATACACAAAGAATCAAGGAAAATAATCCTACATGGCAAATTATTCTCATTTAAGATAACAAATGGGGAGAAAAGTACACAAATGTGGAATGGGTTTAATTCAGGCTGGGCAGTGTTGCCAGACAAAGCCCTACAGGAGTGGAAACACTGGTGTATTAAGTTAGTGGGTACAGTCAATGTTTTATTTGGTTATGTTAATAAAAGGATCATTTGGGGGAAGAAAACTAGAAGCAGTGTGTGTTATTTAAATCTCAATTGATATATAGTGTTCACTATGGAAAACCTTTCTAAAAATTCAAAAGCAGAAAATAAAATGTTAATATAACACTGTGTTGAAAGAAGTTTTGAAAACTGGGAGCATGGTACAATGAAGTTTGGCTAACTTAGAGTCCAAAATATTTAATTTGGTTTGAGACAGAGTAAACAGTATAAGTCAGCAGTGACTAACTTTAACTACAAAAAAAAAAATTCATTTAGGTTTTTTTTCTTCCTGGTTGGAGGTAGACACATTTAAAAGTATTCATTCCAGAGCAAGTGGATCAAGTTGATAAATAATAGTACATCTGCTAAGGCAACTTCCGAAACAGATCAAGCATATCTGACCTGGTATAAATATGTTTAAGATCTTAGATGAAAGTTAAAAACCAGAATGACCCAAGCAAAAAATGTGGTGAAGACACTAAATGATGGGCAGTCCATCTAGAAATTCTCCATGCTGTAAGAAAGTTACACATATGCATGTAAGAATACACAAAATCTTGGTCTTGTTTAAAAAGAAAGGAAGGAGGGAAGAAGGGAGGGAGGGAAGGAATGGAGGGAGGGGAGGGAGGGGGGAAGGGGAAGGTCAAGCCAAATCCTATAGTTAGACCCTACTCTGAGCAACAGATCTTCATTTGCATAATTAACATGTAGTTTCTTACAATTCCCACTTAGTTTTTAATTTATGACAAGACACTGCTCAATTTCAGACAAAAAATATATATATATTTAAATCTTTACAATAAATCAAGATGTAGGAGCTTACATAGAGCACACTGTAGTTTATTTAGGTACTCATTCCAGCTCCCTCAGATGCAAATCACCCTAGTAACAGTGTGTACATAGTCTTCTCTTTGCTTTTTATAATTTCAAAGCAAAAAATACATTTGACTGTATGTAAGTCTGTGCAAATAATCCTTCAGAAGAAACACCTAAGATTCTGTTTGCAGAGGTCACTTTGTCTCTCAAAGATGATTACATGAGTTTGTTTTTCTTCAGATAAAGTGCTCCTGTCCAGCGGAACTCAAAGGCCTTCAAGCGTCCAAAAAGCTCAGTTCAGATAAGACACGGTCATACGAATTCCAGCTTCCCATGCCCACTGTACATGCCCCAGTGAACAAGTGAGAGGATCTTGTCATTGCTGAGGTCTGCTTGCCTCATTTTATCACAGGTCAGACAGCAGTTCTCATGCCCACTCACTGGCACCATGCATTCCAAGTCCAACTTTGCAACCTGCCCCTTTTTGGAATGGTGTCCGTGAAAGCTATAGTGCAAACGAGAGAGCATCTGTTGCCGCTGATCCCGCAGTCTCTTGTTTTCACTTCGCAGCATCCTCAAGGCCAACATAATGAGCAACACTAAAATCAGCCCTCCAGCGATGGGAACAGCAATCACTGCTGCCCGGAACCACAACTCTTTGGAAGAAGTCAGCTCCTGCACTTTGGTGATGAGGTTTCTGCTACTGTCATGCTGATACCGGTTTCCTTGTCCTAAAGGAGCACAAGCAAAACTGTGTTAACTCCCCCTATAGGTACTTATGCTCACAGGTCAATTTTAAACCAGGGACCCCATTTAATAGCTTACCATTAGGTCAACAATATTTAGGAAACAAATGTTGCAAAAACAAGGCAAAAAAGATTATAAAAACATTTGTTTACAGACTGTCATTCCAAAGTAACAATGGTCTTTTAATGTCTTCAAACTGTTAAAAAGTCAGGCAAAACGTATTATGTAGACAAACATCTGATGCTCAGGCAGACATAAAAGCTACTCAATGGGATGCATCTTTGCATCCAGCCACGCAACTAATTACATTAACAAAATCAATAGCAGACATACAAAGTCATGGCTGTCACAAACCTAAGAGATCAGGTGAGCATTTTGGTTAGAAAGGCTTCTACCTACCTGAGGCCTCCCCCTTGGGAGAAGAGAGAACGTCATGCAGCCCTCTGTAATTGCACATATCTTCATGACAGCATTCCAATGTGGGCATGGGCATGGCCATGCCAGAGTGGTTTTGTGCCTGTTTGGCTTGGCAGATGTCTGCTGTGCTTGCAAGAGAGTCCAGGCAGCCATGAGTGAGTGGGGAGTTTGTGTTCTGAGGATCAAGAAGCCTTGAGAAGCAGGCACTCAGCTCAGACTTACACATATAGCCAGTTGCCACGCAGTGGGCAGCATCACAGTAACATCTGATTTCACCTGAAAACAATGAGAAAATGCATCAAATTGCTTCAGAAGCAAGATAATGCATCTGCTTAAGAGATTGCTAAGTCCTAACCTCAAAGGCACTAACTTTTAGAACACTCAGCTTAGTGCTTACAACAGCAGGTCATGCAGACTGGAAAAGCCCTTTGTGCAGGCCTGTGCTTCAATTTCAATCCAGTCAAATACAATTTTAGAAATGTATTAATCCCAGTAGCAGAGAATCAAAGTTTGATTTAGGTTTTTGATTAGTCATTAACAATAATACTTTTGTTTTTGAAAGAAAATAATCACAATAATTTTTCCTACTATAAGGTAAATTACATTATTTATTCATTTTAATCCTACATGACCATACAACATGAAAATACTAGGCTTTTTGATTTTGTAAGTATAAATATTTGATCGGAACTACTGAATTGTTTACTACCTTGAAGGGCTGTGCCAAGATTTAAGAGCTTTAGCTAACACCTTATAAAGTTATTAACTAGAAACACAACAATCTAGAAATTGCTCCAGTCAGGAGGTTTTAAAACTATGAAACTGGGCAGTTATTTGCAACCTCTCTAGAAAAGGCAAACTTTGCCTATAAAGATCTTTTCATGCAGAGGAGCTTTTAGTATATTGTAAAACAGGAACTAGGCAGTTTACAATTAGTGGTTTGCTTGCCAAAGTCAATTTCTTTCAGCCCAAATGGAAAGTCATAAAACTGGGGGCGGAGGGGAGAGTGTGAAACTGCAAGGCTAACTTCTCCTCCCCTTACTCCCCAGTTTTACATGTAATTCGACATGGGATCTAAAAGGGGAAACACTGAATCTGAAAATCCTCTGCTGGTTGAATGAAAAATCCTTAAGGAAACCTCAAATTTTTCTACAGGAAGTGATTAAAGTTTCCTTTATAAAACTTATTTTGCAAGTTGTGAGTCACTGCTCACATTTTGCTGCAAGATCTGAGGCTTTTTACATCAATTTATAGTTGAAATCATCTGGGTCTCAGAGTTATCACTAATATGATTTTCAGCCCGGTGGACTTCGGTCATTGTCACATGCCACAGCTAATGCCATCGTAAATTGAACTAATGCACACACCTCTCTCCAGCTTCCCAATCTGAACTTCTGTCTAGTTACTGAAAACTCCGCTCTGAAATTGAACACCTCTTCCCACCCCTACCTTTCTTCCTTCTCCTCTAGTGATGCCTGAGTAAGGTGTCTCATTTAATTATCTGTCCAAATTCCAGGCCACCGTATGGCATGCTCAGTTTTCACCAGAGGCTGCTAATGCTTCAGTTCTAAAAAGACCAGCCAACTATACACAGATCTTTGGCAAGCCGAGTTTAACTGTCCAAAGCTGGAGATCTTGCTTCTATTTTAAATCTGCATTCCCTATCCTGGGTCTGAGCCCAAGACCCTTCTCCAGTGAAGACCTTCAAGTTAGGACTTTGCTTTGTAGAGGTTCTTTTCTCCTCTTTTCAAGCTTATTTGATTTTTTTGCATAAAGCTCACTGGTCTTATGTAGTGAAACTATATGTCCCTGCCTGACAAATTCCATATACAGATTTCAGGTAGAAATAAAACATTAAAAATCCGTTTTGATCCTATTCGCCTCAGACCTTGTGCAGAAAAAACTAAATACAAGTAAAATGCTGCCTAAATGTTTAGGAGAGCCTATTTAAACATGCTATGATATATTTTAAATGACCTAAAAAAGTCTAATAACATTGACAGGTAACTAGAAAAGTTCTAACAACTTTTCTAAAAAACTGGAGGTACATTTGAGCAAGTTGAATTAACTTTTGTATTACTGCATTAAAACTATATTTCTGTCGTTTCATAAAGTTTCTTCCTGTGGCATGCAAAAGGCCAGAAAGGGGACTGGTATTTTGAAACAGTGAACAATGCTCTTCTGTTTCCCCCCCTTTCTTGTTACTGTATGTAGTGATTAAACAAAAATGTCTGCTTTAGTCAAGATGGCTACAGGAGAGACTGCTGGCTTCTTTTAAAGCTTTTGAAGTCAGCAGCAGTCAAATCTCTGATCCCCTAATTATATCATTATCAGGCACATAGTTTCGGTATCTGTGACTTCATGTCAGCCTCAGTCCCTCCCAGTTCTGCCCGCCTTTGATAGGGCCAGGAGACTCCCCTCTGAAGGCTGTGAGGGCTGTTATTTAGGGTTAATTACACCCTTACTTCCAAAATAAATAAATACTGTAGCACATCATCCTTACTGGGATAGCTTATCCTTTAACCTCATGCCTGCTACATGGCAATTAGAGAAAAGTGGGGGGTGCAAAAGCTAAACAACACTTGGTATTAAAAAAATATATATCTGTTGTTCATGGCAGGGTAGGTGGGGGGAACCTTGGAATCTAGATGGAGTTTGGCTTATTTCAAACTCAAAGGTGAAAGAAAGCCTGCCGAGGGGGTGTGGGGGAAGAAACTGACTGCTGGTTTTTGTGGTGGTTGTTTTTCAGTAGTAGTATTTGTAAAATATGAGGTGAATGGAAATGGGACCACTGACAAGAGCCCATCGTCACTCAGAACAGAACGTGTACTCCTGCACACTGAATACACACCGGGACACCTACACTCAGGGAGGCACACGCTCGCTGATTCACGAAGACACTCACTGAGAGACACAGACACACTCACGGGAGGAGGCACATTCAAATGTAGAGACACTGAAACAGATATATGCAAATACAACAGAGACACACTGACGGGCAGAGACACACTCGAATACACAGATATATTCAAATGCAGAGACACTCAAATACAAAGACATAATCAAATACATAAACTTACTGAAACAGAGTGACACGCAACAGAGACCCGAGACTCAGAGTACGGACACACAGGGCAATTGGGGGCAAGGGTCTGCTGTTCCTCCAGGGCTTCCCCGCCCGGAGGTGGAGAGGGAGGCGGCATCCGAGCCCACACTACCGCCCCGCTCCCGGGCCGCAAACATTCATAAGTTCACTAAAGACTTACACAAACACTTTGACAACCACTTGTTCTGAGGTCCGCCAGACCAAAAACACCCGAAGGGTCGGCCGCGAAGCCGCTGCCGCGACTTCTAGTAACAGGCAACTTGTCGCGACCTGTGGGCTCCAAAGCGGGAGGAAGCCTCGCACGCCGCTAACAAAGCCCAGACAGCCGGCTTCAAAGGCTCGCGGCAGTGGCCGCCCAAGGACCCCACGTGCCCCTCCCTAGGGGGCCGCGCCACCGCCGGCCAGCGGGCACCCACCTTTGGTGAGCAGCACCGCCATGGCACAGAGTTCAAGCTGTAGCCAGATGAAGATGTAGCTGGAATGGCGATCCATTGACGCCCCCACGGCCGCGGAGCCACCGCCGGTCCCGGAGCCGCGGGCAGCTGCAGCCTACGACTCCCGGAGCGCGCCGTGCATGGATGCTGCCCAGAGAGGCGGGCGCCGTCAGCAGCGGGGCGAGGGGCCAGGCAGCGTCCGGAGCATGGAGCGCGACTGGAGGACACACCGAGGGAAAGAGAGGACCTTCGACAGCCGACTGTGCGAGCACCAGCTCCCTCGCTCTGCTCAGTGCCGCAGGCTGAGATGAACCCACCACTTCACTCGCCCTCGGCTAGGCACTCCACGAAGACGAGCGCAATAAGAAACCGCCAGCCGCGAGCTCCCGCCTGCACCCGCCTCCTCTGCCCAGCCTCCGCGCCATAAATACCGCTCCGCCTAGGGAGCGGGCCGGCACCGCCCCGCCCCCCAGCTCGCACCAGCGCCGTCCGATTGGCCGCCAGGCTCAAGTCAATCGTCCCGCACCCAGAGGGCGGGCACAGTCGCTGGCAGGGAGGGACCCGCCGGCGGCTCCTAGCGGCGCCGGCGTCTTGCCTCAGGCTCCCACGGCTGGTGTCTCCAGCGCTCCCCCTAGTGTAGGCCTGAGTATCCCTGACCTCTTACGGCGTGCATCTCTAGACGCCTCATAACTCAGCCTTGAGTCAGCATCGCCCTGCCCGTGGCTTTTTTTGTTCCTACCGAAATAAGCGAGGGACCCGCGTGGCCGCCTTCGGAAGCCCTCCCCTACCACGCTGCGCGCTTTGGAAGCCCCTGAGACAAGTAGTGGTGGTTCCGGCGTGCGCGGTCGCCGGAGACGCTCCTGCAGAGCCACCGCTGGCTCGCCTGTGGCGGTGAAGGGGGGTCCAGTAGGAAAGCAGGAACAAGGGTGGCAGGGCTCTGAAGTCTGCTTCCAGCCTCCACCATCAACCGCACCCCCCCCTGCCCCCCCCCCCCCCCGGCGCATCCGCCTCCAGCCGCCTGCCCTGTGATCAATAAAGCCCAGACAGACAGACTGTTGATCAGTAGGAGCCGCTAAGTTCTCCTGGGTAGACAGGGGACGAGTAGTCGGGCTATAGACACTTAACGAAAATTAGCAAATCCAAAAAGCACCCGGCGCCAGCGAGACGACACAGGCCGAGACTGACACGCAATTAACCACCCCCCGAACAATCGCAGGCAAACACACCGGCTGACCTTGATCAATATCAGTCCCTCAGTGATCTCCTTTCTGAGATGCTAATTCATTTATTAGAACTTTCGGGGCTGCCTGCCCCAAAGTACCCATAGGCGGTCCTGAAGGTTTTGCCGTTTTAAATTTATGTGGAGGGGAAATACAACTTAAAAACGGAGGGGAAATACAACTTAAAACTATTTTCTGAGGAAATGCTCTTTTACTCTCTACTACCAAAACCTGAGACTAACAAAAGTCAACCATTTGCAAAATTTCCTTCTAGGATTAACCAGCGTTCCCCTACTTGATAAAATGTCAAGGGGGTGAGGGACGGTGCAGAAGAGTGCATTTGATGTAAAGGTGGGAGATGTAGTCCAACCCTTCAGGACTAGAGTGCAGGGATGGACTTTAAGACTTGGAAAAATATGTATGTCTCAAGGACTAAAAATCAAGACCAACCTTGTAAATTAAAATTACTGAAAGTCCACAGAACTTAAGGATGTGGTTAATGAAATTGCCTTTGAAAACATTTATATTCAGGGAAAAAAATAAGATAATTTCATAAACTGATGCTCTGACCATCTAGTGATCTACTTCAGTAGATCAACATTGCCTCCCAAAGAAGGGGACGGTAGCCCAGCAGAAGTTTAAAGAGGAAATTAAACTGGTGAGGGCTCCAGGTAAACTGCAGGCTCTCTCAAGTGATGAACTCACTGCCATTCCTTGGAGAGGAGTTTGATCAGAAGTTCCTGACATCTAATTCTCTGACAAGTTAACAATTCTAAGGGGTTCATGCACACAATGCTTTTCATGTAATGGCTCACTCTTAACTCCAGAGAGTCAAATCATTAACCAAATGGAAACTCTGAGAGTACATTCAGTCAGCTATTTGGGAGCACCGGCTGTAGGCCAGGCTCACCGTGTCTTGGGTTATAAAGATGTCAAAACCTAAGTAGGAAATCACAAGCAATGGAGCTTGATGATGGTAGGGATTTACCTGCACAATGTTATGATGCATAAAGAAAGAAGAAAATAACTAGCTCAAGAAGGTAAAGAAGTCGACAAGCAGTAACATTGGGCATGACTCCTAAAGAAGAAAGAGAATTGAAAGGGGACCAGTACAAGCAAAGAGGACCACAGGAATTGAGGCATGAAATGCATTGATTTCATTAGGGCATATGGGTGCTAAGTAGAGCATAGGGAGGTGAAACTATAAGCAATTCTTTGTTTCTGGAGCATAAAATATGAAGCAAATAATGGGCAGAGATGCACCAGAAAATAACTATAATTACCTGTGATGCAGATAAATGCTTGTTTAATGGAAAGGGTCTGGGGAGATGTGTTGATGAAAGCTGTATTGCAGTAAACAGTTCTTGAGTGTCTTCTCAGCCCCTTTCTCTGGAGTGGGCATCAGCTGCAGACCTAGGGTACTGGCCCTCTGCCTATACCTAGTCACATGACCTCAGTTGAGCCAATTAGGTTTCTCTTCCCCATCTTTGGACAGAGATGCTGGTCAATCTCCAGAGATCACTCCATGGGAGGCAGAAATTCAGAGTTCACCTGTCTGCAAAGAAGAAAAAAACATGACAAAGATGTGCAGAGTGGAAAAGATGTAAATCCAAATGGGTTTCCTGTCACTTGTCTTCACATCCTGTCCTTGGATTCCTTAAAAGTTCTTTTCACTTAAGGTTGTTCTACTTCCAACTCGAAGGGTCTGCACTATGATCCTTGTATTAAATTAAATTAAATGGACTTTTATCCTTCCAGGATGTATACCTTTTTTTGTTCCAAACACAATTCAGATTAAGAATGTGTGATTCATTCTTCAGACAATGATTTCAACTCTTTTGTTTTTATTCTTAGTGTAATGGGTAGACTTTTAAAATGGCTAGAAATTAGTTTTTAGAGAAATGTCTGCTGTTCAACATTCTGGAGGAGACATGGACTTTTCAACTAAATGAAGGAGAGTGTGGAAAATCAAAACTGGTTTAGAGATAATATATCAATTAAAAAGCCATATGAATGGTTGAGAGAATAGGCAACAATTTAATTCAAGACTCAAGGAAAATTGCTTCTCTACAGACTTTTACTTGTGTTCTCTACATAATTCAGTTTTTACTTCCCTACCTGTAGGTTGATAAATAGAGGGAAAAATAGTAAAATCTAGTTAGTGTCTTTTGGAAATTTAAATCAAGAAAAGAAATCGATGACCAAAGTCCAAAATTTTCTTTACTGTTATGAAAGGAATTCTGAAAACACAACCTGAGAACAGAAAGCTGATTCTGGACCTAACAAACTGAAATAATTAAACATTATAATAGTTTTATTAATTTTAAAGTCTCCTAGATATGATTTATCCATGGATATATATAGTCTATATTATCAAAACATGTCACTATGCTACATTTTTATGGTTGTCCTAAACAACAAAATATTTTTAAATACCATTTTTCTTATAAATAGCAAAAAAAAAAAAAAACCCACAAGGGTTTTTATGTTCCAGCCTCCTTCGTTAACAAAGTTATAAATAGCAATCTGTGCTTACCCAAATAATGTCATTGTTTCCCAAAGTTATATGTTACCTCCATTTTTAGCAATGCCTCTCTCTTCACAATGCAGATGAAAAATAATTCTTAGTGTATTTTGTTTAGAGAGAAGCAGTTGTGTTCAAGTTCCCGGCTGGCGTACAAACAACTGTTGCAGTCTAGCGATAGAATCTAACATTTTTGCCTGTTATACAACTCTTTTACCAACTAACAATCCACGGGGTTTAGGTAACACTTTGAATTCCCAGAAGCAGCATTTTTTACAAAGTCATTTGTTCTCAGTAGAAGTTCTGAGAACTAGAGTTTAGATCTAAAATTTACTTTCATTGGAATAAGGTCAAAGGTGAGAGATCAGCACAGCCAAAGGAATGGCTGTCTAGCTGTCTGGTGAAATTGGGTTTTTTCCTCCTCCAAAATGAAGAGATAAAGGACTTGTAACAAGGTGCAGCCAAGAGGGGGTCCCCAAATAGGGATTTGGAATGGGGTCCAGAACTCAAGGTGTCCAGGAGATTTTAGAATGTCCTCACCCCACCCCCAGGTGTGGGTTGGGGGAAGGGACAAATGGAGCAGGGCCATTGAGAGCTATTTCACATAGCAACAGCCTTGCAGCTAACCTCTGGCATGGTCATTTAACATATCTATAACCTTTGACTGGTTACATAGATATGTTAAATAGCTGTGGCCATGCTCTGAGCCAGGGGAATGGAAGTAACTTCCCCACCAAGATGTAACTGGGGGGGCAGTTCCCCCGAGTTACAGCGCCTGCATGGGAGCTTGGAGATGTTTGGCTCCATGATATGCGGCCACACCTGCCCAGACCCACAAGGGCAGCCCAGTAAAGCTGGAAGGATATAAGTTCTGGCATGTGAGGCCGAGTGTGGGAGGAGTCGGAAATGGGGCTGCAGAAGAAGATTGGTGTGGGGATTTAAACCCAGATTCGGCAGCCATTGTGAGAGAGAACCACACAGCTTTAGCAGAGTGGAGACTCCAGCAGCCCTGTGAGAGAGAATCACCATGTGGCTTTAGCAGAGAACTGCCACTTGGCTCTGGCAGAGTGGCAACCCTCTCTCCTCACAGCCATTGAGAGGAGAAGCACGCAGTTTGGGCTGAGTAGGGACTCCCATGGCCCTGGGTGAGAGGACCACGCAGCTGGAGCAGTGGAGAGAGGACCATGTGCCTTTGCCGGAGTTGGGACACCCGCAGCTTTAGAAAGGGGAACCACCACCCGACTTTAACAGAGATCCCAGTGACACAGCTGAGGGTGCCGGGAACTGAGGGAGGCCTACCAGCCTAGCACAGAATACAGGGAAGAACTGGGGACTGCCTGAGCCATGGACTTCTATTTCCTTTCCTGAGATACGGTACTCTGGACTGGGCAAAGGGGGAAGGAAGGACTGTGTCTGTTTGTGGGTGTTTTAAGGGACTTGAGAATTTTTTGATGAAGGCATTAGGTCACTACTTTAAGTTTGTATAGCATTAAATAAACATTTCCTTTCCTTTTTATGAATCTCTGGCATTGAGAGACGTCTTTCCTCCGGTGGCAGACATAATGAACCTGGGGGTTCCTTTCGGTAATAGTATATTACCAAATTATCCCAGACCCTCCCCCTTGTTATTGTTCTGTAACAGACTGACTACAGAATCTGCAGGTAGTACG